CCTTTGCCCCCCAACTCTTGTGTGTGGTGGTGGAACTGCCTCTCCATTGGTGCTCAGCAAAGGGCAAGGGAGAAAGGGTGGCTTCTGAGCGGCGGCAGAGCCCTGCCAGCTTTCCACGGGGCCAGCGCTGGCGCTTGCACAGGCAAATGTCTGTTTGCTCAAAGACTCACTGAATACTCACTCGTGCCAGGCGCCTATAACACAGTCGTGGACGACACAGACCCAGTCCCTGCACTTACAGAGCTGACCATTTAGTGGGGGACCCCAGAAGAGTGCGTATGATTGCAAGTAAGTAGTGGCAGTAATGTTTACAGGGCACTGGGAAGCCCTGTGGGACAGTCACTGGCTGAACCCGGAGAAGAGAGGTCTCCAGAGCAGGTGATGTCGAAGCTAAGAGCTGAAGGTGGAGGCGTTCACCTGGCAAAGAGGGGCAGGAGATGTGTCCTGTGGATGCTCGTGGTCCACAGAGCTGGAGCACAGCGGGTGAAGGTGAAGGTCTGGAGACAGCGGTGACCACCAGATCACAACCTGGAGAACCAGGCCAAGGAGCTTGAAGTTCAGGCTGACAACAATGGGAGCTGAGGAAAGGCTTCAAGCCCAGGTGTGACGGGCTCGGATGTAGCCTTTGGAAAGCTGGCTGTGGCTGCAGTGTGGAGAGTTGTCAGGGACAGGGGAGGCCACCGGGGGACCAGGCACAGGTGCTGCAGTGATTTAGGTGAGAGATGATGATTTAGGTGAGATCCTCAGGGAAGGGCAGGGGGGTGGAGACGAAGCCGGGCGATTAGAGACATGCATAGGAGAATCTGTGAGCCTTGTTGGTTAATTAGATTTATGCAAAGAAAAGGAGCATTCTTGCCACCCGCCCAGCATGACACCCTCAACCCAGACATGTAGATGACTAATTGTTTGCATCAAATGAATGGATGAATGTAGTTTCTGGGCTCAGTGCTTCTGTGCAGGAGATGGCAGGGATCAGCATGGTGCAATTAAATCTCTCTCTTTGTTTGCATTGAGCTGCGCAGCTTGCAAAATGCTTCCATAAACGTGATCTAGGTTCCTCCCGACCCAAACCGTCTTATCGGCTGTCACTGTGCTTAAACTTTCACATCAGAGATGCACCACGGTGTGTGTGGAAAGAGCACTGATGTGGCTGCCAGAGGACCCGGGTTAAATTCCCAGTTTGCATTTGGTGTCTCTGTAAGCCTCAAAACTTGTCTTGGTTTTGTCATTTGCAAATGAGGATAATGCCTATTTCATAGATTTGTTGTGGGGATTAAATAGAGACATGTATGTAGAGGCATCCAGCTTGATCCTGGACCAGGATGGGTGCTTGGCAAGACAGTGGCTGAACCTGGGTTGCCACATGAAAGGCAGGACCCCAAGGAAGAGCAGCTCTCAGCCCGAGGACACAGGAGAGCAGTCTGCAGAGGGACGTTGGTGTATGAAGGGGGAGTGAGCTGCCCGCAGGAGCTCAGGGAACAAGCTTCCCCATGCCTCTGTTTTGCTCTGGGCTGGCTCAGCAGCAACACTCAATATTCCACAGAGGCAAGAAGGAAGCCAGATTAAATAAATGTCATTTTGGACACAAAAATATTGACATTGCGATGGTCCCTTCTTAAAGCCGTCAGCAAAGCTTGGTAGGCTATTGATTTAGCCATCTCGTTTTTGCTGAGTTTAATGACAGCAGTGAGATAGACTATTGTCTCCTAAAGCTAACACAAAGAGTAACAGCACTGCACAGGGCATGCTGGAGCCAAGCCCTCCTGATTGAAGCTGATGCCCTGGCACCTCTCCTTTGCAGCCCAGAGACTACCAGGTAGCTGAGAGCCAGCTAGGGCAGAGCTGGGCACTGCCTCGTTTTCCTTGGCCTTATGTGCAGAGGAGAGAGGTGAACTAGGACAGGAAGGCCACACAGTGGCCTGTGGCCGGGTCTTGTGGTTAGCACCTGTTGCCCAGAGAATTTTCTTCTGGTTACTGAGTTCTGGAACAGCCTAGAGCAGTGTCCAGAGCAAGGCCAGGCTAGCCTTGGTGGTCGAGGTGAACTGCAGCCCACATGCTCTGATTGAAGGACCTCAGAAAGCTCATTGTCATTTGCCTCCCTAATCCCACCTCAACTCCTCCACTCAATTTCTGGAATCAGAGTCCAGATGATCCCTAATTTATAATGGCTCCGTTTATGATTTTTTGACTTTATGATGGTGTGAAAGCGACAGGGATTCAGTAAAAATGCTTATCACTTTCCTTTGAGTATCCACACAACCATTCTGTTTTTCGTTTTCAGTACAGCATTCAATAAACAACATGAGATACTCAACACTCCGCCGTAAAGTGGCCTTTGTGTTAGATGGTTTTCCCACTGTGGGCTAATGCAAGTGTTCAGAGCACATTAAAGTTAGGCTAGGTTAAGCTGTGGTGTTCGGTAGGTTAGGGGTAATTTTTTTTTTTTGAGATGGAGTCTCACTCTGTCTCCCAGGCCAGAGTGCAGGGGCGCAATCTCAGCTCACTGCAAGCTCCGCCTCCTGGGTTCACGCCATTCTCCTGCCTCAGCCTCCCGAGTAGCTGGGACTACAGGCGCCCGCCACCACGCCCGGCTAATTTTTTGTATTTTTAGTAGAGACGGGGTTTCACCATGTTAGCCAGGATGGTCTTGATCTCCTGACCTCGTGATCCGCCTGTCTCGGCCTCCCAAAGTGCTGGGATTACAGGCTTGAGCCACCGCGCCCGGCCGTTAGGAGTATTAAATGCATTTTTGACCTATGGTATTTTCAACTTATGTTGAGTTTATTGGGACATGACCCCTTCGTAAGTCGGGGAGTGTCTACATATTCTGAATATATTTGTTTTCTCTGGCAAGAGACCCCAGTTCCTGAAAGGACTCAGCCTTCTTATTCACCAGTTGGCCCCTCCAAGAGAGTATGTTGGGTTTGACCTCTGGCCTCCAACTCAGGGTTCTCTAGAGTAGGATTGGAGATTCCTGAGCTATTCTCAATATTTTAAAAGTCCCAGGGAAGTTGTTCCCGCCCCCCCTCCCCCCGCCAATCATGGGAACATAAACCTCTTGGGTCTGGCTGGCTCTGTTATGCCCTTAATGCAGGTTTCCTTCCCCTCCCCTGGTCCGATGCAAAGGCTCCCACCGGCTGTTCCACAGGTCCTCTCCTTCCTGCTCAGGGCACTGCCAGATAGGGTTTGACCAGAGACAGAAGCAGGAGGAAAAAAGAAGTAAGGGCTTCTTGTGTATTTGCTTTTTTTTTTTGGATACAGTCTCACTTTGTCACCCAGGCTGGAGTCCAGTGGCGGGATTTTGGCTCACTGCAACCTCGGCCTCCTGGGTTCAAGCGATTCTTGTGCCTTAGACTCCTGAGTAGCTGGGATTACAGGCACCCGCCATCATGCCCGGCTAATTTTTGGTATTTTCAGTAGAGACGGGATTTCACTATGTTGGCCAGGCTGGTCTCGAACTGCTGATCTCAAGTGATCTGCCTGCCTTGGTCTCCCAAAGTGCTGGGCTTACAGGCATGAGCCACTGCACCCGGCCTCATGTGTTTGTTTTTAAGAAGAAATTGGCTGTTGGCCCCTGTGCCCTTGCCTCCCCACCAGCAGCCTCACTCTTTTCAGTTGTGGAGAGAGTGAGAACCAGGGTCCCCACGGTCCCCAGCTCAGGTCCCAGCAGGCACCCTGAGGCAGCAGTGGCAGCCCAGTCAGGGCTCACATGAGGCGTCGGTACCTGCTGGGAAGTAGTGGCAGCTGACAGGCCAGCCGGCACGGCTTCAGCAGCAGCTTCTCGCTGCCTGCCCGCGTGACAAGGCCCTCAGATGCCACGGCTGTGGAGACAGCAGTCACCAACCACTGACAGTGCCGTGCAGCAGGGAGGGCACCTGTTCCTCGTCGGTACACACACACATACACACTCTCAGTGATGGTGGAGGTGAGTAGATGTCCAGGTCCAACGGGACAGATGACCGTGAGCGTGCCCTGGGCTGGCTTCCTTCCCCTGTTCAACATCCAGACAGTCAGAGCTGCTGCTGCTGTGACCGTTCGGTGAACAACTGAACATTGGCCAGGGAGGTCCTGAAGACGCAGGAGAGCAGGGCAGGGCTGGAGCTCTCGTGCAAAGTAGGTCCCCACTGGACCTCCTTAGGTGGATCCACCTGCTCACACAGCATGTGGCCAGGCCGCGTCGGGTTCACACCACACCAGGTGTGTGGTTCCATTCTCAGCTGCCTCCCAGGCCACCACCACCCCTCTGTCTGGGGATCCCCTGAGCCCAGCTTACCCGGGTACTCTTCAGGCTCCCCAGCCCACCTCAAGCAAGATTTCTAGACAGAAGGGTGAATGAGAGAGAATGAGTGTCCCATGTCATAGAAGGGAAAGCGTACTTCTTTTTAGCTTTGCGCTGGGCAGCCTGATGGCTCAGCAAAGATTCCTCTTTTCGCATTGAGGAAAAGGTGTCCACCCCTGGATTTGGGGATGAGGACAAACCAGCTGGTTCAAGGTGGAGAAACCCTGTCATTGTAGAGTGAGGTAGTCTGGGGGTCCAGGTGGCAGTCGGAGTGTGTGTCTCGGTCAGGGGGAGCCCTGTTGCTTGTGACCTCTCCCCACACTCTGCCTCTGCTGCAGCCAGGCAGAGGCCCACATGGTGAAGTGGGCACAGGCTCACTGCAGGTTCCTTAACAGGCTGGTCGCGCAGCCTGGTAAATGGTGTGAAGATATTGACTGACCAGAGGCAGAAAGCTTTACGAGGAACGCAATTCAAGTACATGTGTTTGAGCCTGACTCTCACTGACAGCCAGGAGCTCGTGACACTTGTGAGTGGGAGAGGTCAATGCCAACAAATCATGACTACAGCTGACAGACGGGTAAGCAGGACCCTACGCAATGTGGCCAGCGGGTTTACTCACAGGGAAGCCACAGCTAACATGGTGGCTTCAGGATGTCACCATCCACTTGGTGAACTGATGCCTGGGATTTCCTTGCAGTGGAGGGAAAAAAATAAACAGAGGTAGTCTAGATATAATTCTTTTATTTTCATTATCATGCCCCTAGCACATGAAGCTGGGCTTACCCTGAGATCAGCTATGGAGTGGGATGTGTTTCCAATGAGAGCAGTTTCTCTATACGCAGTAGGTTAAGGCATTGTCTCTGTGTCTAGAATACTGCGATGACCCACACCCATGGGCCAGCTGGTTCCAGGAGCCCATCTGGCCTTGCTGACACTGGGCTGCCTGAAGGATTAGCCACACTTGCACAGGGCGGGCTGGGGAAGGGGAATCCCAGGTTTATAAGCAGGAGGAGGCAAGGCCCACAGGAGGCGGGAAGCATGGGCTGGGCTGTGCACTGCAACAGGAAAAGGGAGGCAGGGCACAGCGGCTCATGCCTGTAACCCCAGCACTTTGGGAGGCTGAGGCAGGAGGATCACTTGAGCTCAGGAATTGGAGATCAGGCTGGGCAACATAGGGAGACCCCATTTCTACAAAAAAAACTTTAAAAAAATAGGAAAAGGGAGCAATAAGGATGTTGTTGTGCCTCTCCTAGGGCACACAGGAGGTGGTGGGACAGCAGGCTGGGGAGTGTAACCTGTCTCCTTCCAGGAAAGGACCCAGCCACCGGGTCTCCTGGCCAAGGCCACAGACCATCCAAGAGCCCTCCAGGGCAGGGCGGGTGCTGCACAGATGCACAGTGCAAAGGCTTTCCTGTTCGGCTGTGAGCGACCATAGCAGCACGCTTCACCCCCGACCCACGATGGAGGCAGGAGGACAGTGGCATCTAGGCAGCCCGAGGGACTTTTGAACCCTGAGGGTCGTGGCAGTGTCCCTGGGACATGGTCTAAAGCAGTGGTTCTTAAAGTGTGGTTCCAGGACCAGCAGCAGCCCCTGGGGACTTGTTAGAAATGCAAGTTGTTTGCTCTGCTTCTCCTGATTAGAAACTCCGGTGGCGGGGGCAGCAATCTGTTTGGAAAACATCCTCCCAACCCCAGGTGATGCTGACGCCCACTCGAGTTTGATCACTCCTGGTTTAGATGCTTGATCACATTCTCAGCAGACGTAAGCACCACCCAGCAGTGGTACCAAAGACTGGTTTTCTCCACGGCCAGTCAAACCCCCTTTCCTTCCTCAGGCCCGGGGTGGCCAGTACATGGAGAATGTTTTCAAAGCAGGTCCTAGGGTGGGCGGTGGTGACGGTAACTGTTCCACCTCACTGCCCCTGTCTGAAAACCTTGAAGAGGGGCCCAGAGTGGCAGACTCTGAGACCAAAGCTGGCTGCAGGGCTGGAGGGTCCCGGGCAACATCATACTGACATACCATGGCCCCCCTCCCCTCAGGGCCACACTGGGCCCTTCCGGCTCTCAGGGCCTTTGGCTGTGCACAAGGTGAACTTCCCAAAACAGAAAGTAGTGTCCGCTCCAGAGCCCTGGCAGCAGCAGGCGCTTCGTATGGCCTGGAGAAAGAAGGCAGAGAGGGGCGTCACCTGAGGGGGAGGTGGTCAACACACCCCCAGACGTCCCCTCCCAGCCCAGGGTGGTTCTGGCAGGGGGCGCGACCTCAGGTTTTCTCCAACCCCCAGTGATCTCGACATGGGCATGAAATTCCACACTCTGTGTGAAGGCTCCGAGGGCTGAGGGCCAGTCTCTGCTCTCACTGTGGGGTCAGCATTGGCACCTGAGATAACGGGCCAGGCTGTTGCCAGGCTCACTTGCTGCCTGAGTTCCTGCACCGGGGGCCCGGCTATCAGCCTCAAATAAGCCAGGCTTTTCCACCACACACATGTGCAGGGCAGCTGGCGCCTGGCCCAGATGCCGGATTCTGTTCAACCTGGCAGGGGCTGCCGAAGCTGCTGCTATAGGATGGTGCCCCCCAGGGACACTTTGGTTCTGAACGTCAGCCTGAGCACTTGTTACAGAGATGGAGAGCTATGGGACGCAGAGGACAGGGGCTCCCGGCTCAGCTTTGCTTCCTTCCACCTGGCTGGGGTGGCAAGACAACAGCCATTATTGCTGACCAGCAAGCCTCTTAACACTTCTGAGCCTCAATTTCCTCACCTGTAAAATGGGGGTAATACCTTCTTATTGGAGTAATTGCAAGCGAATGTACTGACAGCAAGTAACACATTCTAAGTGCACAGCAGGCCCTCAGTAAGCACCAGGCATTCCCCGGACACCCCGCAAATGGCCCTGCCTGGAGGGCTCCTGGGGTTGAGGCTAGACGGTTGCGGGGTGGGGAGGGAGAAAGAGGAGAATGGGCACCCACACTTCATCCCCTCCCACAAGGCCAGGTTTCATCCCTGTTCACTCCCTGCCTCCCACCAACACTCTTCATCCGGGGGACACAGGGATGTACCCTTCTCTCTTGGTGTCTGCCCCTTAGGGAAGGGTGGCATGGCGTGTGCAGGGTGAGGACGTGCTGGCCTGAGCTATGTGGGATCCCAGCACCTGTTGTTGCCCTGCCAGGGCCCTGGTGGGCAGGAGCCTTTTGCCAACACAGCGCTGGTGATGACTTTACACGGGCATGTCCTGTCTCTCCAAGGAACTCAAGACTGCTGGCCTCCAAGCAGGGGCCCGGGAGGACCTGCCCTGGGCATCCATCTCCACCCTGGGCAGCAGGAGGGCTACACGCAGCTGGGGCTGCATCCTGGGCTTCAGACTCCAGCCATTGTGCATTCCCAGGCAGAACCTGCCCTGTCTTGGGCCTGTTTCCTCCAACCCTGTCTCATCTCCCAGGCTGCTGGCCTGGGCCTCTGTTTCCTCCAACCCTGTCTCATCTCCCAGGCTGCTGGCCTGGGCCTCTGTTTCCTCCAACCCTGTCTCATCTCCCAGGCTGCTGGCCTGGGCCTCTGTTTCCTCCAACCCTGTCTCATCTCCCAGGCTGCTGGCCTGGGCCTCTGTTTCCTCCAACCCTGTCTCATCTCCCAGGCTGCTGGCCTGGGCCTCTGTTTCCTCCAACCCTGTCTCATCTCCCAGGCTGCTGCCTGGCCTCTGTTTCCTCCACCCTGTCTCATCTCCCAGGCTGCTGGCCTGGCCTCTGTTTCCTCCAACCCTGTCTCATCTCCCAGGCTGCTGCCTGGGCCTCTGTTTCCTCCAACCCTGTCTCATCTCCCAGGCTGCTGGCCTGGGCCTCTGTTTCCTCCAACCCTGTCTCATCTCCCAGGCTGCTGGCCTGGGCCTCTGTTTCCTCCAACCCTGTCTCATCTCCCAGGCTGCTGGCCTGGACGTGGAGGTCGTATTTCCAAGAAGCTCTGGGCTGTCCTATCACTTTCTGAAGCTCGGACCAGCCAATCTCCCCAATGGAAACCTGGGCTGGACAACCCCCCAGGGCAGGAATCACAGCGAATCCTGCCCCCAGTCAGGCTGGCCCAACCCAACACACGGGGCTGGGGCTGATGGAGCAGGCTCTCCTGGGCCTGCCCTCAGTGACAAAGCTGCTGCCACCTTTGTCTCCCATCCCTGCCAGGGCAGACAGGTCAAGCCACGGCCCTCCTACCCACTGCTGCCTCTCTCGGTGCCCCACCGGGAAGAACAAGACCCTGGCCCAGCACGCTCCCTCTTTCTCAGCCTCACTTGGTAGTTGTTTGATATGCAGCCCTTCAGAGCTCCTGGGAGTCGCGATCAGGTTTTGATGATCTGCATGAAGCCCAGCTTGGAGGGCAGCAAGGATAATCACGTCATACTGTTTCTCTGGGCCGTGGTGCAGTCGTTTCTGGGAAAACTGGTGTTCCTTTTAATGAGTTCACATTGGCCACTCCGGGCCCTTCTAGGCAGAGGAGCTAAACCAGCCCAGCCTCCTAACAGCCCCTGGAGAATCCCCAGAGTAGAGGCGGCAATCTGCCCCGAGAGGCCGGCTTGCTCTCTGTCCGCGTGGGCGCTTCCCGCCCTGAGGATATAGTTTCTGGACAGTTCAGCGCTGTGTTTGTGACCGCAGTGAGGGGCCTTCAGGCCGCTCCTGTGTATGGGAGCAAAAGCACACCCCTCCTCAGGGCCAGCCCAGGTCAGCAAGGGCTGTGCTCAGCAGGCTGGGAGCTGCAGCACGTGGAGAGACCAGGTGTGACCTCTCCCAGCCTCGGCCTCTGCATCACAAGGTGCTGTGCATCAGCGAGTAAGAGGCCGCCCTCTGGGGAGACGTGCAGGACCGGGAGGTATGGAGGCCGGGCGTGGGGTTCCTGTGTGAGGCTTAAGGTGCCCACTGGTGATAGCCATCTGGGGGTTCCCTGTGGTTGTCGCACAAGTTGATACCTATCCTTCGTGAGACTGCCAGCATGAATGCTCTGTATTTCCTAGGATTTCCTCTCTGTTCTCCCTTAGTATTTGGGAAAGTTTTTCCTGAAAACTCCCTGCCTAATTCAAGAGAGATGCAAGAGAGGACCAAAGGAAGGGACTCTATCCAGCCTGGGATGGGCGGAAAAGGGAAGCAGAGCGAGGCTCTCTGGAAGCAGCACGGTGGTGGCCACAGGGTTGGGGAGAGGGGGCCCCAGGAAATGTGAGGTTCGGGCAGGTCCCCTGGATTCAGAGCTGCCCCTTCTGAGCCCTCCAGCTCTGCAGGGCCTGGGATTTAGTCCACTCTGAGATGAGTTTTACACCCACCACCATTAAGAGCTGAAGATAGTTTTAAAACCAGCCATTCCTCGGCTGGGCGAAGCGGTTCACATCTGTAACCCCAGCACTATAGGAGGCCAGGGTGGGAGGATAGCTTGAGCCCAGGGGTTTGAGGCCAGCCTGGGCAACATAGGGAGACCCCATCTCTACAAAAAGTTAAAAAATTAGCCAGGTGTGGTGGTGCATGCCTATCATCCCAGCTGGTCAGCAGGCTGACCCGGGAGGATTGCTTGAGTCTGGGAGGTCAAGGCTGCAGTGAGCCATGGCCATGCCACTACCCTCCAGCCTGGGTGACAGAGCAAGACCCTGCCTCAAAAACAAAAACAGAAACCCCACAGGCATTCCTGAGAATCGGGCCCCAGACCAGGAGATCCCCGAGGGGCATATTACTAGAGGCCGGGGCTTGGGGCCAGGATCTCCCAGAGGGATTTCTCCTGGGAAAGCCGCTAGGCAGGGTGCAGGGCTCCGCTCTCGGGACAGCATGTGCCAGCGTGGCCCACACACCCCACATCCCTGCCCTGGCAGCTCCACCGCGCCTGTGGCTGCCCTGCCTCCGGCCTCCCCACTCCAGGGCCTGCAGGAAGGAGTGAGGCCAGCAGGACACGGCTTTCCAGGTGAGGCAGCGTGGGGAGTGGGCAGGTCGAAGGGGTAGCTAGGTCATCTAGGGGAAGAGCCACCCCTACCTGTCCCACCCCGTGCATTTCCCAGAGGGGACAGCAAGGCGAGGGCTTCTGAGCACCGGTGGGGATCCTGCCCCTAATGCAGGTGTCCCAGGGCACCAGGGTTTTCAAGCCCTTTGTCCCAGGTTCGGGAGCTGGGAGGGAGCAGAGAGCCCAACTGTCACCCTCCTGTAGTCCCTGGCACCCGTGTGCCTGGTGAGGGTCCTTCTCCTGCCCAGGCTCTGGCTGTGAGGGCTCAGAAATGGAGGGGAGGGGGCTGAGGGTCCCTGCCTAGGTGAGGAGCTGTGGTCTAAGGCACTTGGTGCATTTGCAGGGGCTGGACACAGAGGAGGGGGCATCTGTGGCCTGGGGGAGCTGGTGCTGATGCTGCAGGCCCGGCAGGTGGACGTGGCACCTGTCCTTCTGAAGGGCAGTTGGAAGGGGACGCAGTTGACCATACCATGAGTAAAAATGTCGCTGGAGCCTCGGTGCGAGCAGCAGGGGAGAGCCATCCTGCAGGTCTACCAGGTGGAGCGGGCGAAGGAGCAGAGAGCAGAGCTCCCGAGGCTGTCGGCCCTCAGGGCCCTGGAGCAGTGCTGCTCACACCCAGTGCACACGTGAGTCCCCTGAGGCCTGGAAAAAGGGCAGCTTCCCGCTTAGTTTGTGGGGGGGGGGCTGCAGTTTCGCCCTTCTAACAAGTTCCCAGGTGATGCCCGTGTGCGTGGGGAAACCACACTCCGAGAACTGCTGTCTAAGAGCAGGGCTTTGCACCCTTTAATGGACACAAACCACCTGGGGACCCCCTTATTACAGTTTCGCAGGCCTGGGTGGGGGCTTAAGGGTCTTCGTTCCTAACAAGCTCCCAGTCGGTGCTGTGGGTCTGTGGTCCTAGGGCTTCTCCAGAGATGGCCTAATTTAATGAGATCCCGAGTGGGTGTTTCTGCTCCCTCATCACAGCTGTCTGAAGCAGCCTTTTGCTCTGGGAAACTGCCTGTGTTTTGCTGCCCTCAGACTCTAGAACAAAACTCAGGTCCATTATGGATGCTCTGAGGTGTGCAAGAGCCATGGGGGAAACGGAGGCTCTGGGAGGAGCCCCTGGAACTGTCACCAGCTCTGACAGTGAGCACAGAACGCAGTGCCAAGCCCAGCCCCAGGAGTCCTGCCTGCCAGCCCCTGTGTTGGCCGCCAGGAGCTGAACAGGAAGGGGCTGGAGCATCCTGCCCAAAGCATGCGCAGGCTTGGGAAGGTCGCTCTCAGCCCTATCTCACTCCCCATTTCTAAAACACAGAGGACCTTTATTCTCCCGCCTTGCTCTGGGTGCGTGGGTCCTCCCCGGCCTTTTTCCTCTTCCCCTCCTCCCTCCCACTCGAGGATGCATTGAGGTAGTGTCATCATGATCCTGATAATGATGACCTGTTATCAGGTCTCGACTCTGTCTGCAGGAGAGGGGCACTGGGCAAGAGCAGCCCCGTGACTGTCCCGTGCCACCTGGGGTGAAGGTGGGTTCCCCTAAGTATAGAAACAACACCCCGACTTTCCCCAGTGTTTCCAGCAGCTGCTGCTGCCCTGGCCTTGTGAATCCGGGTGTAGAGGGCAGGCTGGTGGAGGTGCCTGTGGGCTGTACCCACTTGTCTCCCAGCAAGGCTGGCAAAGAAGGTAGCTTCTTCCCCCCCCCTCCTCTCCATCCCTCCCAACCTGGAGGGCAGCAGGGAGCGTGACCACTGCCTTCAGCTTGGAGACTCGGTGCTGGGGCCTGTGTTAATCCACCTAAGGGCCTCAGGGTCACAGCTGAAACGTGGCTTAGGGGGTTATTTCGTGTCCCACTAGCTTAAGCAGCTGTCACAGCCCTTCCACCCATGCAGGTGTCATGCAGCGTGCCCTCTTCCCCTGTCCCCACCTCATGGGCTGATGATTTTTCCTGTACACTTTCTGGATCTTTCTGATCCATGCTAAGGGGGAGACAGAAGGGAGCTGTTAGGCCAGCACAGATTGGTGCTGTAAGCAACATCCACGTGTACATCTCATGCTGCGGGAGGACAGGAGCTAGGCTCCCAGCAGACACACTTCTGCATGAGATGTGTGTTCCCAGGGTGCTCCCAGGAGAGGTCCAACAAGGGTGGAGGTGTGTGGGCCAGACTCTCATCAATGTGGGTCCACAGGCACACACACACGTGCACATCCCCACCTGGAATCATGCGGAGGCGTACAGGATGCTCTCATCAATGTGTGCACACACGTGCACACCCCCACCCTGAATGGTGCGGAGGGCACAGGATACTGACCCACCGGATCCCTGAATAAGCATCAGCATCTCCCTCCTGACAGAAGACGCGGAGAAACCAGCATGGATGGCTCCAGGCAGCCAGCAGGTGGCGAGCAGAGACAAGACAGGACAAATTCCCTGCAGGTGCTGGAGAAGGCAGACCGGGTCGGGCCGGGCTCTGGGGCCCAGCTGCATGGTGTCTGGTGCTTTTGTTCGACAGCCGCCTGGGTGTGGCCCCTCGGCCACACGTGGGACATTTTTAACAGGGAAGCCGTCATGCCTTCTACTTCTTATGAGGTTTCTGAGTCAGCACCTTGCTGTCATCAGAGAACACGAAGGAAGGGCCAAGGATGTTCCAGGAAGCCATTCCAAAGTGATTGCTCGGTTTCCCTTTCCACGACCTGCAGATCCCAACACTCCAGGACGGTGCAGGACATCAATCTCAAGGTAACTGGTCACGGAGGTGAGAATCTTACTGAAAAATCAGAATGTTAACCCTGGACGTTTCCTGAAAGATGAGCTAGACGGTTTTGAAACTGGATTGGAAACCCCAAGTGTAGCTCAGGGCTACTGGTCTTCGAAGTACCAGGCTGGGGATGTCGGGGAGGCAGGTGCCCGGTGCCTGCCTGCTGGCGAGGATGACTAGGAGCCCTTTCTCAAGGCTTCGGCCCACCTGGGACTTGGGCAGTGTAGTGCCCAGCGTCGGCCGCCGGAGGGAGCTCTAACCTGAGACTTGGCCGCTGGAGGGCTGGCTCAGTGGACCACAGCGGGGAAAACAGGGCAAGGGGTTGAGCGCCACCAGGAGCCATTCCACAGTGACCATGGAGGAACAGAGACTGCACGGTGGGGGTTGTGAGTGGAGGGAAAGCGTCCACTGCCCAACGACCTGGTCTCCTCAGCATCAGACTTACACAGCAGCTCCCATCCACCTTGACCTTAGGCTCAGTGCACCTGCAGCCCTACTGCCTGCCCTCGGCCTCACTGCCCTCATCTGGCAGCTTCTGTGGGCTCTCGGGGCCGGAGAGGTCATGAAGAAATAGACCGAACGGCCCAGGCGTGGTCGGAGTCCATACAGAGCAGGCCCCTCTGCACTGGGAGTCACAGGTTTCCGGTGCAGCGTCACAGAGCAGCCCTGCCCCAGTTCCCAGTGGTGACTCCTCTGGCGTTCAGCACATGAGACAGAAGACCTGCCCTGGGGAGGTGCAAAACAGGGGCAATGCTAACGCCATCTGCGCTTCCTGGCCCTGCAGGTGAGTGAGGATGAAGGGGAGCAGGCTGGTCTGGCCAGGGAGCAACTAGGGCTTTTTTTTGAGAGACAGTGTGCCCTTGCAGAGAGAATACAAATGATGGTGTCATGTGTCGGGCACCTGCTATCCGCTCAGCAATGAGCCAGACACTTACATGTGTGTTGCTAATTCCCATCACCAGCTACCAGATGAGGTCTGGTCAGCCTCAGTTCACAAACCAGTGACTGAGGCTCAGAGATGAAATAGCTGGCCGTAGGTCACACAACTTGCAGGGGGCAGAACCAAGGCGAGTGTCCCTCCAAAGGCTAGACTCTCCTGCCAGCGTGTTAGGCTGTAGCTGGACCCTCCAGGCCCACAGACCATGCGGGTAGCTGGCACCATCATCTGAAAGAACCCTATGCTGGAAGGCTCTCTAAGCCAGCCAAGGCCACCGTCCCCTGCTTCTCTTTCCCACAGACCTCTGAGTTGGGGTAGGGAGTTTGCAAAAGTGAAGGGCCAATGCCGGGAGATCTGGGCACCAATTCAGGGGGTGAGACCCTGGTCAAGTTGCCTCTCTGGGTCTCAACTTTCTGTTGTGTAAAGCGAGGAGAACGCTACTCCTTGTCTGGCCTGGGTCTCAGGTTGTTGTGTGGACCCAGTGAGAGGAAGTATCGGAAATCCTCTGAAGTCTACAGACAACTCTAAAAAGGCTGACGGAGGCTTTCCTTTGTGCCAGGTGCTGTAAGTGGGCCACAGGCATCACCTCATTCTTATTTAGACCTTAGGAGGTTGAAGAAATTATCCACATTTTGCAGATGAAGGGTTGAGGGATAGGGAAGTTAAGTAGCTCGAGGTCACACAGGAGCAAAGCCAGGACTGGACTCCGGTCTTCTGAGGCCTAAGCGCTGCTCTTCCTCTTCCCCAGATGGTGCTTATAGCCCCGGACTGGGAGGGGCTGGGCAGGACAGCAGGACTGCTGGACGCCTTCTAGAAGGACAGCCTATACCTGCGGGGCTCTTGCCTCTGAGTATTCGCTCCTGGCTTCCCTCCCTTGGACCCTTGACTACAGCAGCCTGACAGAGTGACCTTGACTTCCTGGGTGGCAGCTGGGGGACTGGGTGGAAGGGGAGAAATGGGAGCCAAGGACATTGCTTATCCTCAGGGAGAGTGCTGGATGTACATAGGGGAATGTGCGTGCACACACACACATACACACATGTACAGTCGTTCTGGATTCCAAAATCCACTGATACTCAAGTCCCTGATATAAAAGGGTGCAGTATTTGCATATAACCTCTGCACATCCTCCCATATTCTTTAAATCATCTCTAGGTTACTTGTAATACCTGATACAATCCACATGCTATGTAAATAGTTGTCATGCTGTATTGTTTAGGGGGTAATGACAAGGATGTTCAGTGCAGACATAACCATTTTTTGTGAGTATTTTTGTTCCATGGTTGGTTGAATTCAAGGATACAGAACCCATGGATGTGAAGGGCTGATGGTACACACATACACACACAGAGGAATGAATGCAGATATGTTCACACTCACACATGCACAAGCACCCTAAACACACATAGTGTATACCACCCCACCCACATAGACCCGGGAGCATGTGGACCCCCACAGACCCACACACGCCACGGCAGGCTTGCACACGGACCCCCACATGCACACCCTCGAGGTGCATGCACGTACCTGAGCCCACATCCACACTCCTCCCAGGCCCGTTTCTGACAAGTTCATGTTGTCCCTCAGGCATCTTCCTTCATGTTCTCTGGGGGACAGACTGACTGTGGGATTCAGCCTTGGTTGCAAAGGGAGGGGGAGAGAAGAGAGCAGGGCAGGGCATGGATATGCCAGCCCAGTTACTGGAGATCGCTACCACTGGAGACAGGTTCAGAGCCCTTCCACACACCTTCCTCCTAATCTCTCAACTGCACCTCACCTGCAGGCAGGCCACCCCGATGCCCACCGCCCTCGTGAGTAGCAGGTAGCTTGGTGAGGCAGCCTCCCTGGAGGGGAAGGGCAGGTGTCAGGGCTTTGGCCCAGAAGCAGGCACAGGTTGGGAGGAAGGGCTGGCCGTCCCGGTGCATATGGCAGAGGCAGAGGGTGGACCAGAGGACTCATGGGCTGGACCTGGCCTTAAGTGGCTTACAGGTTTTGTGGGCAGCCCCGGGGGCATGCCATGGTGCCCTGGACTCCCAGGAGGAGCTGCTTTTCCCAGGGCTTTGTAGAGCCTCTGAAGGGCCTGGCGCTGTGAGCTTGTGGTCAAGGATCATGTGTGCTTTGCTTTTCCCACGCCCATCTGCCTGACCCCAGCCCTTTGGGGGCGCCTGGAGGCCAGGCTGGGGCGCTCACCTCTCCCTTGCAGACGTTGGAGGGGTGGGCCGGCTGGCTGCAGAGTGCCACCACCGCCTTGCAGCAGCTGGCGGGCACTGGCGGCTCTCACCTCCCACGACAGCAGGTACGTGCTGTGCAGCACTTGAACTGCAGGGGGAGGCAGAGGCTGGAGGTGAGAAGGCTGCGTGGGGTTCCAGGGCCGAGGACACAGGATTCAAACACTCACCCAAACCCTCTTTGCTCTCCCTGCGATTTCTCCCTTCCCTGTTTGAGCAGAGAGCTGTCCCTGGGGGCCAGCACTGCCCGCAGGACTCCTATCTGCTACCTGCAGCCACCCAGGACCTGCAGCCACCCAGGTCCTTTAAGGAGATTATGCTGGGTGTCCTGAGGGCAGGGTAGGTCTGTGAGGTGGGCAAGATGGATGAGGGCGGGGTCCCCAGAGAGTGGGGCTGTGTACCGCTGCCTGGCAGAACACAGGGTGGTGACAAGCCACAAGAGGCAAGGAGGCCCTGGTCATCCAGGAGGCAGGACACAGGGACAGGGACCAGCCTTGCCAGAGGTTCCCAGGTGAAACCTCAGAGCCCCAGACATGCAGGGGCACAAAGGGTGTCCCAGAGTCCATGGCACAGGCAGGTCAGTGTTGGCCAGAGGGGCCGGTGTGAGTACTGAGTGAGGCCCGGGGTCGTCGGCACCACTCCAGGGCAGGGAAGTGCCAGCCAGGGTAGAAAGCAATTCAAAGACAGCGGACTGGGGCCACTTCCTGCCCTTCTGAGTCGGGGCACTGAGATTCCAAGTCCCTACACAGGCCACAGAACACAGCAGCTGGGAGGCCGTATCTGGTGTGGGTTCGGGGCTGGGCGGGCGGAGGGGTATGAGTTCATTAGTTCAGCGAACAGGGCTTTGCTAGGTTTGCCATGTGCCTGGAGTGAACAAACACGAGTTAGGCACCAGTCCTGCCCTGAAGTAGTGTAGCATTTACTGTAGTTTAGTAGAAGACAATGGAAGTTTGTGTGTGAACCCCAGAGAAGGAAGGGGTTAATCCTCCATCCAGGGCTAGGAATGGACGGGGGTGGACGGGGGTACCGGGCGTCCTGGCTGAACATAACGGCGGCAGATAGGGCAGGGACTGGCACAGCGAGGGCAGGGAGTCACGCAGCCTCGCACATCCCCGTGTCTCTGTCTGGGTGTGCTGGTGCCGCACGACTGCTGGGCCACTTACATGTCGAATTGGGCCAGTGAAAGACCTGCACCCTGCACCGTTGTGGGGACTGAAAGAGGAGATTCATGGAACGCAATTAGAAGAGAGCCTGGCGCAGCGTCCACGGTGAATGAGAGACACTTTCGTGAATACAGGTGCATGTGGCTGTGTCATTTACATGCATGGGGTGCTGCTGGAGGGCCCGATGCTGGCCCTGGCTCTGCAGCCACTGCTTTCCTGGGGCTCAGTCTCCCGCCTGAGATGCAGGTTGGGGTTCTAACTGTTCCCGGCCTGTGTGAGGGCCTGCATCTGCGTGCACCGGTGCCCTGCAGGTCTTGGCGGGTGACACGGCCTTTGCTCTTAGCCGCACCTTTCCTCATGCCACTCCCACCCTCTCCACCTAAGCAAACCCTGCCCCTGCCCCACGGAGTCCTCCCCACCTCCCCTGCTCTCTGTTTCGGGGGTGCCCCAGCCCTGCACTGCCTGCACGTTGCCTGCTGTGTGTCTGGCTTTCTGAGTGAGCCCGAGGGCGGGGATTCTGTCCTATTCTTGTCTGGCACAGGTCCTCACAGGCACAGCCCAGGGAGAGCACACTTAGTCTTGCACAGGGCTGACCAGCAGTGTGTGCTGCTCCATCCCAGTCCTGGGCTAAGTCTGTGGGGTACGCGTGTGCCTGTGGGTGTGCACCTGTGTGTACACGCGTGCCCTAGGCCACGATTTCAGAAAAGAGACCCCTCCACCAACGGGGAGCTGAGCTTGCATCTCGGGGAGATGGGGTGAGGGCTTCCCTACTGAACCATGATGCCCTGGATCTTAGAGCTCATGACGTCTATGTCCTCTACTTGCCTGACATTCCCCGGGCCAAGACCAAGGCCCCAGGCCCAGGGGATGAGGGTGGGGAGTGGGGTGGCAGAGAGAGGCGGACCAGAGCATGTGGGGAGAGCAGCCTTGGATTTTCTGACACGAACCCATCAGGATCTGGAACAGTGCCGTCCAGGAGAGCTTTCCGCGACGGAGGCAGCGTCCTGCATCTGTGCTGCCCAGCTCGGCGTTCAGTCACCATCTGGGGCTCCTGAGCGCCTGAAATGTGGTTGGTGAGAGCAAGGAACTGGATTTTGTTTAATTTAACTGTAAATAGCCACATGTGGGTGGCGGCTGCCGCATTGGACAGCACAGCTCTGAGGTCCACTGTCCGCCCCCTACGTCTGGCAGGATGGTGGGCCTTGCTGGAGGGATCTGCCGCGTCTCTTCTTGGAAAGGAGACCACCTTTCTGTGCCTCAGCTTTCTGCCTGCTGGCTCACAACTGGGGAGTTCTGTTGGTGGCTCAGCTGAAATACCCCTGCTGGGTAGCACTCCCTCTTATGGGGCTTCAGCTCCCCGCTCCCCAGGGAAGAAGGAAGGCAGCCCCACAGATAGAAGAAACCCGGAGAGAGGCTTCCTGGCCCAGATCCTGGCAGGCGATGGAGTTCTCCTGGTACTGCCAGCTTCCTGCCCACCAGGACCCAGAGCGGGAAGACAGCAGGGGTGGGTTTGGAGGAGGGAGTCGAGGAGAGGGAGGGAGAGGAAACAGGCTTCAGCAGGCACTTCTCACGGTGGTAAGGACTTTACAGATGTGGCCGAATTTAATGCTCACATACCCTAAAGAGGCTTCATTTTAGGGATGTGGCAACCGAGGCTCAGAGAGGGTAAGTAACTTGCCCAGGGCCACACAGACAGGAAAGAAGAGAGTCAGGATTTGAACCTGTGTCTGCTTGGCCTTCAAGGCCATAGGGCGTGGTGTACCTCCTGTTGCAGCCGGTCTGCTGAGGTGGGGTCTGCGTGGCTCCAGCTGCCCGTAGTTCTCGGTCAGAGTCTGGCTCAAGTGCTGCTTCTGTTTGTCACTCACTGAGGAGTGATAAGATGGCATCAGCAGGACCACCCCCCCCTTACCCGCCACCCAGGCCTGCTCCCAGGCCTCCCCAGCTGACTCTACAGCACTGTGGCCTGTGGATGGTGCAATGAGTATCAGTGGGAAACGGCGGAAGATGCCCATAAAGAGGAGGTTACAGAAGCGGGGCCTTGACACAGGGCGCAGGTGCGATGGGCAGAACTGAGGGAGGCTGGGAGGCTCAGGTAAAGGGTGGCAGCCAAAAGCTGGCGGGAGGCGGAGGTGAGGCTAGACCCCAGAAACTTCGAAATGTCCGTTGATCTTAATTTTGATTAAGAGGTGATATTCAAAGTACTTACAATTGTTACCCTGTGAGCACCATTCCAGCACGGCTTAAACAGCCAGCAGGGTGGCGCTGTCTCTACCAGCTGAACGTTACCCTGGTCATGGCCTCAAACTCTCGATTCAGAGGGCAGCAAGGTGGGCGCGGATGGGACTGGTTACTACGTCCCTGTTCAATCCAGGCAGGCAAGATCTGATCCTGTCTTCAGAGTCTTCCATGTGATCCTGGCCCAGGCCTTTCTTCTTGGACGCCTCTGGCAGATGGATTCATCCTCTAGACCATCCTTGAGAGGGGAGAGGGATGACCTATCCCCCCGGGAGACCCCCCCTCCACCTCCCATGCGGAAGCCATCAGCATCAGTGGAATCAGGGAATTGCTGGAGCCGGGGCCAGCAGCTGGGATCCAGATGTGTGGAGGATTGCCAGGGTGGAAAATGGGACCACCCCTGTGCCTGCCTCAGTTTCCCTCATCACAATGCATCCCCCTTCTCCCCCTGCATTGCTTCATCGGGGCACGGACAGACAATGGAGGAGGAGGAAGCGTCCACTCAGCCTCTGGTAAACACATGGGCCAGGACTCCTGCCACGAGCTCAGCCAGGTGATAAGAGACAGGCAGAAATTTCTAGGAGCAAGGAGAGAAGAGGGTCGCCACCAAGGATCAGGACACGCCTATGGCCGATGTTTGCCCAACGTGGGGGGGTGGTAGAGATAGCTCCTTGGGACCCCCGTCACCTGTGCCATCTTCCTTCTCTCGCCAGCAGCTCTGGACGTCCCAGCCTTGCCGGCTGCTGGCAGCGAGTTTCCCACTCATCCCTTTCCTCATTGGACTGGCAGCAATTCAGTAATCCACCCACCCATCCAATATGTATAAATACCTGCTGTATGCCAGGTGCCAAGCAGCGTAAGACAACTGTGGTCCTCAAAGTTATTAATGGTTGGGGGGATAGGCGAGTGATTACAATCAATGTAATTGCTATCAGTGTAACTATGGGTTAAGCCCTAGAAATGATGGGAGGCTCCTGGTGGGGAGGGCAGTCAGAGAAGGCTTCCTGGAGGCAGTGACACCTGAGGGGCATCTCTAAGGACGAGCAGACATTTGCCAAATGAAGAAGGAGGGAAGTGCATTCCAGGCAGAGGGGAGAGCACGTACAAAGCCTGGAGGCTGAGGAAAGCGTGGGGCACTTGTGTTCAGGGAGCAGAGTGCACCCACATGGCTGGAGCATAGGGGCCAGGCTGGGCAGCAGCAGCCAAGGCTCAGGAAAAAGCAAAGGCAGAGATCAGAAAGATGACTCGTGTGTCCTCTTCTCGCCCCGATGCCCATTCCCTGTCCTGCATGGCCCCGCAGGGGTTCTCAGTTCCCCTCAAAGCTGCCTGGCCGCCTCCCGGCTTGGGGTTGTCCTTCTTGCCTTACAGCCCTGCTGCAGCCACTGCCTGGCTTCCTGGCCGTGCACACACGCGGGGAAGGTGTGACCCTCCTCACTCCCACCTGGCTTTCCACTGTCAGGGAGGCTCCTGCTCCGCCCTGACCCCGGTGTGTTCTCGCCGCAGCCAACAGGTCTGAAATGCACGTCAAGCCCACTTGGGCTGGAGGGGGCAGGGAGAGGGGGATGAAGCCAGATAAGTACAGGCAGCCAAGGAGCACTGGGCAGGAACAAGGGAAGAGAAGGGAGGAGAGAAGACGGGGGAGGACTGTTGATGGAAACTGGCCTTGCCCTGGGGAAGTTCAGCCCCACTCATGAGCACCTCTCCCCTAGCTGCCCCCAGGCACTGCCCACCCCTCTGGCCACAGCAGAGCAGCTGCCCATGGTCACTGGGATGTCTGGGTTCTAGGGAAGGCCCAGGCTATGGGTGACACCTGAGGCTCTAGGGCTCACCCAGCAGGGAAAGGAGCGTGGGCTGGAGGGAGACAGCTGGGGGTGGGGGGCTCCTTAGGAGGGACTGGGGCTGTTGCCAGTTTCAGAGGCAAGGCCAGTGCAGGGGCCCATGGGTCTTATCCAATTACCTCCTGCACTATTCGGCAAGGAGCCTGGTGTGAGCAGGGCTTAAGGAACACAAGGAGAAGGTACATTTCTTCATACAGGGAAAGAGGCTCGGCCCAAGAACAAGGCTACCTTTCAAATGAAGCGAGTTACTCGCCTCCCTCCCACAAGCTTACTGCCCCGTATTGGTTGTCTCCCAGCGTTGGAGCTGGCCAACAATGGGGATAGTTCCCTGTCTCAGAATAACGGTGTCAGGCCTGCTCCCATCACTTGAGGACCGAGGCAAAGCCTACGAAGCAGGTCCCTGCCTCACTCCTTTTCTACCCCAGGCTCTATGCTGCACCAGGAAAGGCCTCCTGTCCGCCCTCCCCCAGGGTGAGACGCCCCTTGGCCGAGCCTGTGGAGAGGGCTGGGTGTGGTGCGGTGTGGGTACAGGAGAGAGGGGCACGTCCCAGGGGTCCCGTCAGCTCCAGGCCACCTGTGCAGACGTTGCATGCATGGGCTGAATGCACAGAGGATTCCAAGCTCCTGGGTTCCTGGGAGGAGGTCTGGAAGTGGGGGGAGGGACCAGGTTCCACAAAGGGACATTCTCTCATCCCCACAGACTTTCCACTCCATGGGGAGAGGTGTGGAGGAAGGAGGGCGGAGTGGGGCCCAGGCAAAGGCCCCGCTTGCCTGGGTCTGGGGGTGGTACTGAGTGGTACCCACGGGAAGCTGAGGCAGGAGGCTGACAAGAGGGTTTGTGGATGGTTCCTCTGCTGGGGAAGCCCCTGAGAAGTAGGGCCTGAATGCCAAGGGAGGCTGGCAGAGATGCCCATGAACTGGCCTTGGGTCCAGTCTCCACCACCTGCTGACTCCAGTCGGGTGGCTGCTGGTGCCTTGGCGTAAATTAGAAAAATGTGCTCTAATGAGAAAAATGGGGCCCAGCAAGAGTCCAGTGGCCTGCGTTTCAGCCTTCTCTGGTCCCCTTGCATAGGACACAACCTCTAGGGCCATCCACGGCGGCCCTGACTGTGGCTGACCCTCCCTGTCCTATCAGCAGATGGGGAGGATGGCGGTATTGCCGGCTCGGCCCACCCCAAGTGGATGGGGCACCCAACAGGGGAGTGGTGGGGGGATATGCTTCAGTGGTCTGCCCTGCCTCCTGACTTCCCTGAACTCGAGGTCCCACAGCATGAGGGGTGCGGTCCTTGTCAGCCAGTGGCAGGTGCGGTTGGTACAGCCCAGCACTCACCCTCCTGGGCAGCCTGGCCCATCAGACAGTGTGGCTGCCTCCACCCACACCCACGGGCTCTCCCAGACCCCCGCACTGCCGGGCCCCACAGCTCCTCTCTGACATGGGTGCCTTTCCTGCTGGCTCCAAATTGCCCTCCCCACCCACTGTGGTGCACAGGCCGACTCCCTGCTGCCGTCTAGAACCTAGAGGGAGTGAGGTGATGCAGCGTCTGTAACTGAACGGGAAGACCCAGGCCGCTGGCAGCAGGGAGGGCTGCATCCTGGCATCTCACCACCTTCCTTCTATTACCACCATGGGCTGGGAGACAGGCCCAGAAGATAGTCCTGAAGAGGTGGCAGTGTCACGCTGCTCCCCTGGGAGTCCCTGCCCTGGTTGCTCTTCAAGACAAGGTGGGGAACAGGGAGGATGGGAAGGGAGAGACAATCTCACCACTTAAGTTTAATGGCAGGCTGTTAGCACCTGCCAGTGCTGTGAAGTCGGGTCAGAGGCATCACACAGGCTACCGACCTGCTGGAGGGAATGAGGAGGAGGGGGCCGAGTGCTAGGCAGGGGTGAGGGGTGTGGGGACAGCCTCCCGAGTGAGGGGCTCCAGCATGTAAAGACACCTGGGAGGGGAGCAAGGGGCTGCCCTGGGGCTTCAAGGGACTGAGGCTGGGTGGCCCCAGGTGCTGGCTCCAGGCAGCAGCTTCCACAGCGGGGGGGCTGCAGGTATGTGACTCACCTGGGCCAGGGAGGCCCTGAGCCATGGTTCCTGGTGTGACAGCCCCGGGAAGCAGGCCAAGAGTCCTGCTCATCTGGATCCTGCACTAAGGCTGGCTAGAGCTCCTGGGCAGTGGGCCGGGCTGTTGGGCCTTTAGCTGTGTGACACCACGGATGCCAAGAAATCCACCTTTGCCCCGCTACCCTGCATTTACCCAGCGTTTCCTGGCTCCCTCCATGCATCGGAATCATCTCAGGGCTCCTGCGGCACACGTTGGCTGTCTGCAAAGCAGAGAAGCATCCCTCGTGTTGCTGTATGAGGTTCCCTTCACGCAGGCCAGGCATCTAGCCTTCAGACCTTTGCTCTCCCCTTCCCGCTGCCTGGAATGCCGGTGCCTCCTTGTCCTTCAACGCCCAGCTCAGCTCAGTCATGGCTCCACTAAGCCACGTCAGGTAGCAGCAATGGCTATTCCCTGCCCACGAATGCCTGCAGCGTTGTCATCTGCTGTCTCCTGACACCAGCACTTTCTGCTGTGCCCCTTCTCTCCTCAGCTGGACGGGGCTCCGCCTCTGTGTCCCTCCCCATGCCTGCTGCATGATTCCTGGGTGTGGGTCTCCACTGGATGAATGGCACAACTTCCCCCACTGCCCTGTAGCTGTTGCTTTTGTTTCAGGTGTTACCACTGTCCCCCCAGAATGACTGTGAGCTTCCGGGCGTGGGGACCACACCTTGGGTTTCCTCTGGCTCCTCCACAGGGCCTGCTGTGGCGCTGAATCTAGAGGCATGCTTGGTGAACATCCCCTGATGAAGATGTGGGCGTGTCCCTTCTTACAGAGCACACCTGGGAGAAAGCAGGAACTGGCGGGAGCGTGCCAGCCCCGCACTGACGGCCGTCGTTTCATCTTTTTCTGATCCGAGAGTACCATAGAACAGTTACCTTAGTTAAATTTCTATCAGTGGTTCTCAACCTGGCTGGATTTGGCCCTCAGGGGGCATTTGGCAATGTCTGGAGACTTTCGCTGTTGCCGTCACTGGGGGAAGGAGTATTAACGGTGGGTAGAGGCCAGGGATGCTGCTGAGTGTCCTACAGTGCACGGGGCGGTCCCCCGCAGCAGGGAATTATCAGGCCCCAAATGTCGGTAGTGCTGAGGTTGGGAAACCCTGAGTCACACTTTGACAGGTTCTCAGGCTGATGCTGGGACTTGATTTGCTTACGTGCCCCTATCCACTACGGGAGGCACAAACGGAAGATCCGAGGAACGTTCCCTAGCTCCCAAGGAGCCAGGACCGGAACATGGACAGAAGCATGCACGGCCTTGTATGCTGTGTCTGCCTGGGAGGGCAGCTCTGTGGCAGAAGGCTGCTCACCTGGCCACAGGAAGGACTGGGGAAGCCCACACTGCTCCAGCTCACATCCTCACGGGACCTGAAGGCTGGAGAGGGAATTCCAGGAGTCCAGGTACATCCTGTCTGGTCCCAAGATCTCTGAAGGGTTCCCGGGGGACAGTCTGTTTCCGGAAGCAGCTGTGAAGTCCTCCAGCTTCCTTAGTGAGCTGGGGAGGGGGGTGCTGCCGTGACTCTGTAAGAGGTTGACTCTTGGAAGCACGAAGAAGGCTCCAGAGACAGCTCTTGCCTTGTTTAGTTTGATTTGATGTTGTTTTTTTGAATTATTAAACACAAGTCAGTAAGAAATTCTCAGGTGCCCTGTCATTTGGAGGAGTTCTATTTCCACGCAGTTCGTATCACCGGACCCCACGCTGTCCTGCTTCTCCAGCTCACCATACCGAGGAGGGCCCACGCTGCACCGGCAGAGCCCAGCATGCTCTTCAGGCCCCCCCAGAATTGCTGGCCAGTGGCTTAGGAGGCAATACCCCAACTCAGGGTGCGCTGGCCTTGCTCCTCAAGCCCAATAGGAGAGGGCAGGTGGTGTTTTCAGGGTGGGAGCTGCAGAAAGCATCCCTGTCTTTTTTCAAAAGAAAAAAATGCACCCTTCCTTGGCAGAGTCAGCGCCTTACTCATGGGAGCAGCCCAGGAGCACCAAGCAGAGCCTGGCACACGGTGGTGCTCCATGACAGTGACAGCCAACATGTATGAGTGCTCCCAGGTGCCGGCCCCCTCGCAAGCACTTTGCGTGATCTCTCTCATCCACCCTCAGAGATGAGTACTAGCATTACTCATCACGTCGCCACGTGGGCACGAGCATCAGCCTCGTTTTCTGGATGAGCACACGTGCGTGGAGAAGCTAAGTAGCTTGCCTGAGGTCACACAGCAAATACGTGGCTGGGTGAGGCACGGGACCCAGGAATTCTGGCTGCAGAGCCTGTGGTCGGACCTGCTACATACTACTTTCCCCACTGAACAGTGGCTGCACGGATGGATAGATGAGCACCGGGCTCAATAGTGGGGATTCAGCACCTTAGGGCTGATATCGTTCAGGTGGATATAGGGGTGTTAGGTGCTCCCCCAAGGGACAGGGTGTCAGGAGAGGTGAAGAATGATTGAAGATGGAGGAAAAAAAAGGGAAGCCCTCCCCAGGCACCCAAGCATCCCTCACTGCCCTGCGCTCAGCCTCTTGCCAACTGTGCAGGGCGCCAGCCTTCTGTGCTCCCCTTCCATAGGACACAACTTTTAGGGTCATCCATGGTGGCCCTGTGGGCTGAGCTTCGGTGTCCTCGCCAGCAGATGGGGTAAGTCAGTGATGCTCCAGGCAGTACCCCCTGCTCCTTGCCGGCAGTGGTGGAGCATCTCCTGCCTGCTCCTTCACCCCCGTGGCTTGTCCTGGGTTCATGGCCACGGGCTGTAATGTGGGTCTCTGCTCCCTCCACCCTTCCCTTTACTCAGCCCAGCCTACTCTGATCTCAGAAGCTAGTCACTGTCTCTACAGCCTGGGAAGCATTTCCTGTGTGTGTGCAGAGCCTCACACAGCAAAGCCTCCAGCCTCCCTGCCTTTGCCTTGGCTGTTCCTCCTGTCTGGAATTCCCTGCCCTGGCCCCATCTGTGTTCCATTTATTGGCTGCTCAGCCACCAACATTCAGCTCAGGCATGGCCTCCATAAAGCCCTGGGCCAGAAGCTTCTGACCCGTGAGCTCACTGCTAGCATCCTTGTTTCTGAGCCTCCTGGCTCCAGGCCTCTCTGCTTGTCTCGCTCCCTGGGACTGTGTACACGTGGATCCCTGCTTGCCCTCCTGGCTCTCACCTGTGCCTTGTTCTGCCTTCATGGATCCTGTGCACCGGGATGTGAACTGAACCTGCCCAATGAACTCCAGTCCAATCCCCAGTTCCACTCTGGTTTTTGTGACTGGTCTGCCCCCTGCAGACTCAGGGCTGCACGGTCCTTCTAGAAGCAACCATCTAACGGCCTGGTCTGATGGAAACGGGTAAGGAGAATCTCAAAGAAAGCTCTTCTAGCATTTGCCTTCCATAAGAACGATTCCATTTCAGGCTCAAAACATAGAGGGAACCAGCGTGTTAAGCACAGAATGGGACCCAAACGTTAATTCCCACCTCCATCCTCATACCATAGTGGGTTTTTTCCCATTAACTCTTTAACAGAGAGGCTTAAACTAGAAGCAAAGTTGGATACTTTCTAAAACTATAGATCCAACATGAAGCTGGAACAGCATAGCATTTTCTGAATCAAACCAATACTTTCTTTAATGAGACGCTTTGCAGGAAATATGCAGAAATATTTCTCATTGTGACATTAAGATGACTAACTAGAAATGGAATATTTGGAGGGACTTATACCCCATGGGGGCAAACTGAGCCCCAGATAAGAGTTTCTGGGGCAGATGCACTGGTGCATAAGAGACAGGGCAACTGAGCTTCAGCCGATGCCATCCTTGAGGTAAGTTTGAAGAACTTTGTAAAACTGGAATTTCAGAATTTCTCCATTGGACTGATTCTGCCACAAAGGGAGCTTCCAGCCATCCTGTATGATTAGACAGAGACAGGGCTTGCAAAGTTTCCTGCAATTGATAGCCTGACGGTAGAGGCTCAGTGTCCAGGCAGGTCGCGACGAGGTGGAGGGACTAGCCTATTCCCAGAACAGCCTGGCATCAGCACAACAGGAGGACCAAGACGTCGCCCAGTTAAGCTGGAGGGAGAAGAGCCCAGTCTGAGGCTTCCAGCCGGCTGTGTGTGAGAGGATCATAGAAGCAGGTGGAGGGAGAGCCAGGGAGCCCAGAACGACTGGCCAAACAGGAAAAGATGAAGCCAGCTGTTTAAGCGGCAATGACCTCAGGGCGAATTATCTTCTGGCAATGAACCATGGACTGGAGGCAGCTCAGAGGTACAGCTGCCCGGCCCGTTTGTACAAACGAAAGGATGTGAATTTGGGAGCCTCAAGCCATTCCTGTGACAAGATGTCATTGTCGGAAGGCTGAAGGTGACCTCTACTCCTCTTGGCCCCAGCCCAGGGCTCACAGCCTGGGCTATCCAGTCGCAGCCATGGCAGAGGTTGGGACTCAGCCATTCCACGGGGAGCAGCTCTGCAGTGAGGACGAGAGGATGTGCTCTGGCCAATTTCTGATACTAACAGACCCTCCTGGGCCGGGGGACTGGGAGCAGAGAAGAGGACCAGGGCTGGGGTGAGGAGAGCTGTAGATGAGATGGAGTGAGAGTAAGTTGGAAGAGGCAGGGAGGGAGCAAATTGGATCCTGGGGAAGCAGGAGGTATTCTACAAGCATATCCAGAAAATGCAGTTGAGCACTAGCTCACACCTGTAAACCCAGCAACCTGGGGCCGAGGCAGGAGAACTGCTTGAGCCCAGGAGTTCGGGACCAGCCTGGACAATATAGCAAGACCTGTTTCTTAAAAAATAAAACAGGAAAAAAGAGAAAATGTGGCTGAGGCCATCCAAAGCCCCAGCCCAAATGTTGGGGTCTAAGAGGATCACACTGTGTGTGTGTGTGTGTGTGTGTGTGTGTGTGTGGTGGGGGCAGGGGGAGCCTGGAAGGAGAATAGAATTCCAGAGCTACACACCCAAGACAGGCGTCCACTGAGCTTCAAGCTGGGACTACTGAGAACTTAGTTGGAATGGGCTGTCAGGGCAGCACCCAGAGAGGGCAGCAGGGCCTGGTCAGCAGGTTGGGGGGATGGGGGCCAGGTACCCCATGGGGAGACACAGCCCAGGGGACTCTGAGGATGCTCAGTGGATTCAGGTATAGGGAGGTGACCAACTGCCACCTCCTCCCAGCCCCCTGGAAAGGACTAGATGTTTCCGTGGCTGTCTTCTCACAGGCTTTGGAGGGAGATGTGTGCAGGTAGCTGTGCACATAGGTGGACAGAAGGGACTGTGCAGGTGGCGAGGGTGGGATAAGAGTGATGGCAAGCGCCCCAGGGCAGGACTAGTGGTGGGTCCCTAGCAGTGGTAATTCATTCTAGGACAAAACTGGCTATGGGGGGTAGGGAAGGCTACCAAGAACAAGAGTGAGGAGATACGAAGGAACAGGGCCGCCTAAAGGTTAGGAAAAGTCCTGAGGCCCAGAGAGGTCAGAGCCTCTGACCAAATCCAAACACAAATTCAAATCACTTGCATGGTCCTTTACCTTTTAATACAGGCATCTGGTGTTCCTCGCTAGAATCCAAGCCTAGAACTGGGCCAGAGTCCCTTTCTTCCTTTCCCCTTCTCACCCTGCTTGTGTCCAGCAGAGCAGGAAATGCTGAGAATGTGCTGGAAATGCTTGCTGAGGGCGATGCGTTAGGCAGCCCATCAGTGCAGGATGGAGCCTCGGTTGCAAAGAACTGGAGGGAGGTGGTGTGGAAGCTGTAAGAACTGCCCCATTGCAACAGTGCTGCTGGAGGTGGCGGTGATCAGGTACACACCCACTGCAGCCTGGAGAGGTGCATGTTGACACGGAATGATATGAGTCTCTTGTGCAGCCAACTCAAGGCTGGCTCTTCAGGATGTTTGTGTCCTGCTTCCCAAAGAGCCTTCAGGCTTCAGAGGTCATCCTCTCCATTCCCCTGGCTCTACCACACAAGCCACCCTGGATGAGGAGAAGGTAATGCCAGAGAGGGGTCAGGATTCTCCAAGCCCTGTCTGTAGGAGAATTTTTGGAGCATGGGTCTCTCATCTGACCAAAGGTGAAAATATCACTAAACAGACGAGGCAAGGCCCACTGTGGGGTTGGGTGGCTGGTGGAGCAACAGAAAGGAATGTGTGGGTGAGAAATGAGGGTAGGATGCAGTCCAGTTCCCGGGTCCAGGGACTCAGGTTCCCCTGAATTTCTCATCAGCACCAGCTTCTTTAGAGGATGTGGCCCAGCCAAGGCTGTGGGGGCCTGGGGGCAGTGGGCCCAAGAATAACTCTTACTTATTTAGGTCTCTTCTCAAAGGAGCTTGGCCATGGTGATGGTGATGAGAATGTTCATCAGAGCCACATTTTTGCAATCTTTATATAATGTGGTGACTCGTTTCCTGAGACCTGAAAATACTTCCTCCTTATCCTCACACCTCGTCCCATATAAAATGGCAATGCCAAGGTGGCAAAGCAGAAAGCAGTGACTTACCTGAGGCCCCAGAGCAGGCTGGGCAAGCTCTGTGAAAACCAGCTTTGCAGCCTGAGCCCAGATATTATTTTGCCTTTGATTCTGGACCCCGTTGCCCTGGCTGACCAAGCCTTGGCAGATTTGATGGAAATGTTGCAATTCTGGCTCCCTTCATTTTCAGAAATTAGTTTCTAGAACTTC